GATAGATAGATGGATAGATAGATGGATAGATAGATAGATAGATGGATAGATAGATAGATAGATAGATAGATAGATAGATAGATAGATAGATAGATAGATAGATAGATGGATAGATAGATAGATAGATAGATAGATAGATAGATAGATAGATGGATAGATAGATGGATAGATAGATGGATAGATAGATGGATGGATAGATAGATAGATAGATAGATAGATGGATAGATAGATAGATGGATGGATAGATGGATAGATAGATAGATAGATAGATAGATAGATGGATGGATAGATAGAGATAGGGTTAGAAAAGATGTAAAATATACATAATAAGTTTGAATACTCCACAATAGATGGACTTTGTCTTTCTTTTTTTTTCTTGCTCCTCATGATGTGTCACACACAGCGTCTTCCCGTCGATAAAAATACTATTTGCAGCTCCAGCAAAGCCTTTTCTCTGCGGCCATAATACACAAACTAGACAAAAAGCCAAACACAGCAGCAAGCTAATCATTATGGTCCTGTTTGGGGTGGGGGGGCGCACTGGAGCACTGCCTTTCTTTCTCCACTCTCTCTCACTCCTTTACTCAATTGAATTATATTCCAAGACGCTTTATTGGCATGACCAAGTCAAAAACACAGTATTGCCAGAGTCCATTGTACAAGGTGGTACAACATTAATACGTTAACATATTATGGTAATAATATGATTTAATTAAAACCAAGGAAAAATGTGAAACATAACTGAATTACCAAATACAAATAAGTATAATGACAGTATGTCTGTGCCCAACAATTCTTTAAACTCAGAAGATTGATTAGGAACATAATTAGATGTTCTTTTTTTTTACTTACAGTGAAATTGTGTACAGACACATACTGTATTGGTATGATGGCTGTGCTGACTAAGTAGCAACAACAGGGAGAAAAACACAACGAGGTTTCAGCATTCAAAATGATTAGGGCAGTTTATAGCAGTTTTGTGTGTGTGTGTGTGTGTGTGTGTGTGTGTGTGTGTGTGTGTGTGTGTGTGTGTGTGTGTGTGTGTGTGTGTGTGTGTGTGTGTGTGTGTGTGTGTGTGTGTGGGTGTGTGTGTGTGTGTGTGTGTGTGTACATGTGTGTGTACATGTGTATGTGTTCATTTGTATCCATAGCCATTAGCACCCATGATGAAATGGCAGTCTCATTTGCGGTCTGAGCCTCACGTCACAGAATGATGGTAGTCATGTCTTTAAACGCTAAGTAACCACATCCCACTGCATTACTACATCATGATGTTACGACAGCTCTGTTTCACCAGCAAAGAGGGATTCTGCTTTGTGCAGCAGCACTGTCACAAATCATAAAACTCATTAAAATGGAATCCATTAAATGAATAAAATGCAAATAGGACACACATGTGGCTTCATATTTACATTCCAAAGCTACAAAGAGTAGTTGCATCATTTATTTCAAGTCATTCATTTGAAATACATCACTGATCTTGCAATCATTTGACAATCCTCCACCTCTCCTTCTCTTCCTTTCCTTTCCAGATTTCTCAGGGAACTACCTCCACCTGGATGCAGGGGCCCACACCCAGAGGAAGAGAGCCCGCCTGCTGAGTCCCGAGGTGGGGCCAGAGAGAGGCCCGCTCTGCCTCCTCTTCTACTACCAGCTCCAGGGGGAGGCCCAGGGGAGCCTCAGGGTGCTGCTGAGGGACAACGAGCAGGAGGAGACGCTGCTGTGGGCTCTTAAGGGAGACCAGGGGAACGGCTGGAGGGAGGGCCGTACCATCCTGCCACAAAGCCCCAAGGAGTATCAGGTAACGGTTGTTTTTGAACTGGGATTAGGTGAAGTTGCTGCACATAACCAGGGACAGAAACAAGCAGTCAGTAGTTAAGTGATGCAAAGGGTTTAGTTAGGGAAGACTTTAACTTCCAAATATACAGTAAATGTGGAGGCAAATACAAAACAAATCAACTTTATGCTACAAAAGACAGATTTATGAATTATGAACAGAGCTTACCGGTACTATCATGAACAAACTAACTTATTATCTATCTAAAAAAATTGCATTATTAATCAATAAAGTAAAAAAGATAAGACCTCCACACTGCATCAACAAATAAGTACATTTGCCTTCATTTAAAATGTATTTTAAAAAAAAACTTAGGTTGCATTATTGATTTTTGTTTGTGACCTTTTGGGAGTATATAATGTACATCAATGAGAGTATACAGTATGTCAACAAAAAACGCATTGTAAAAAAGGGTAGGTGTAAATAAAAACATTGGTTTCCGGTAAATATACATTTCCTTCCATGTTTTTTCTCCATATCAAGTTATAACTTATCAATCTTTTATTTATTCTTTTGTATATGCTGAGATTCAACTATGGGGGTAAAGAAAGATTGTTGTAATATGTCTCTCTTCTTCTATGATCTAGGTGGCGTTCGAGGGCTTTTTTGATCACCCAACTAGAGGACACATCAGAATAGATAACATCCACATGAGCAGCAGCATGGAGCTGGAGGAGTGCACACGTAAGTGTCGTAACCTTTCTGTATACTTGTCTCTCCTTTTATCATTGACTCAGTAAAAGCTCAGACATTCAGTCCATCTGTCTGTCTTTCTTTCTCCTTCACAACCTACTGCTTTCATAGTAGACCGGTTGAACAAAAGAGAAGGGATAAAACTCATAAAGTTTCTCGTTTACACACAGACACACACACATACATAAAGAAATATATATATAAAAAAAGAAAGTGGGCCACAAACGGCCTTTGGGCATGGATTCTAATCTATGTTTCATATCTCCCTCTCTCTATCTCCCACCGTTTTATGATTCTTTCTTTCATTCTTCTTTCCCTATCCCTTGTCTTTCATCCACTATATTTGTGCATGTAGTTATTCTGTGGGAAAAATGCTTGAGAGACTATGTGTTTGCCTGTCTCTCTCTCTTTGCTTACACACAAACCGGCCATCGAGACTGCTGTTGTTACTGATTGACTTCATTTATGGAAGCTTTTGTTATTACTGTCAGAAAAATGCAGACTTACTTGAAACACAGAGACTAGACACAGGATTAGCCTTTAAATCCTTCACATATTTCCCCATTTGACATACATAATTTTCTTACCCATGCAGCCACACACACCCACACTCTTCTCTCTGGGAAGTAATGGGAATATTGCTATCATTTAATGTAGCGACACAGCCTTTCACTCCGCACAGCAGGATAGTGAGCCTGATGTGAGCACACACACATACACACACACTAATGTAGAAGGTCATGTAATGACCACCACAGTAGTGCATTGATAGCAAAACACGAACATAACAAGCTTAAAACACTTCAAGCTGGTTCTCTTTCAACCCTGTTAAATTGAGCCTTGTGTGAATCTAAATTATCTTTGTCCAACTTATTTTTCCTTTAAGGTCTTACCAACCACAATAACATTGAGGCAAGGTCTCCGATTGCCCTGTTGGTCACCTCTTCGGCTCATACTATGTTGCAATAAGGCATAGCGTATGTTTGTTAAATCTGGGAGTTTTACTGATTCACAAATACAGATAGATTTAGTCATGAGGAATAATACTTAGCACGTAAAAACTGTACTTTACCGGGTTGGGTTTTTTCCCTTAAGGCTTTAACCAGGTGGATTGGGTCTATTGAAAAATGATGTCCAGTTGCATCATTGGAATTGTAGGATCCACCATCTTTAGTGTCTTAATCTGTCTTGGAACTTTAAGTCAGGACATCTTGGCCTTATTTCAACTCGTCCTTCACAAATCCCCTTACTTTATGGAAGCATGATACTAAATTGCTGGTACACCTCCTGAATTTTTGAAATGACTCTTGGTCAATGGTCTTAACTAGATAGTATTTATTTTCGACTGTTATCACATATTACATTTGGTATGATTTTCTTATGCCAATATTTCTTTACTAAATGTATCAAGTGTCTCGTTTCAGTATTGCATACATCCATATTACTATGATTATCCAATAGGAGACATGCAACAGGCGAAGGAACGAGAACGTATTCTCTCGACCCACTGTTGCATCTTCTTTACTTGTGCTGCCATTCTGTTTGTGTTTTCCTCTGCGCTTCTCTTCTTTTTCATCTCCCTTTCACTTTCATAATAGATGATGTATCCTCCGGCAAATAATAAACAGCAGTACATTTCAGTCCCTGTTCCCATGACCCTTAAACTTACCTCCAGCCTTCATTCCCAGTCCTGTATTTCCTGTCTCTTCAATCTTTTCACCCTCCATCTCTCATCCACCCACTTCTTTCTTCTTCTCTACCCAACATGTCTGCTGCCATTAACATTTGTTTGTCACCTTAAGAAAATAGAGAGCAATCTCGGGAGGGCGAAACGTAGAATGACAAAGCAAAAGTATTTTATAGTGTGAGCAAGTCTGCAATGACTGACACACAAAGACATAGAGACATTCAGGGAGGACACGCTTCCTCTCTTCCAGCCCATTTTTTTTGTTTTCCTCTCCATTTTGTAAGAAAGACTGTCATCCAGGAAGATGTATGGGGCCTTTAGACTCCTATATTATGTCGGAACTCAACAAATCTTTATTGATTTTCTCCAAAAGAAGAAACAAGTGCATTTGCAAAACAGTGCGGCGTCTTGCAATTTTGCAATTCAGCTGTACCGAAATGCATTTCTGTTAACAATCATCAGAAATATAGTTGTTCAATGTCAATTTAATCATGGAAATATGCCACCGTACACTGAGACCAAGCAAATCCTAGGGATGATGTATTTGGTGCTGTATTTCATATTGTAAAATGCTACTTTAGAATGAAACAAATGCATTTAATCAAAGTCTTGTCATGCATCATATTTTATCCTTATGGTTTAGCTCATTCTGGACCTGTAGGGGCTTGTGGATGCTTCGCGTTCACTCTTATGCTGAACAATAATGTACAAATGTAAGCACCAAGATGAAATTAAGTGAAAAAAATGCACAATATATATAAATATAACAGATATGATATTACCTTATTATATTAATGACAACGTTGAGTATAAAAACACTGAAAAAGTCCCCATGAACAGGAGAGTTAATGTTTGAACTCACACCCAGTATGAGTCATCTACATTTTAATCACCAACTAAGATGATCTCACATTGGTTTACGGCAGCCCTTATACCTTCATTGCTTTATTACAACTACTAACTTTCATCAATAATATTTCTTTTTCTCTCTCTCTCCTACAGAGCCTTTACCTGCCTTAACTCCTGGCATAACCAGTAAGTTCTTCTTCCTCTTCCATATGTACTTCCTGTGCAAAATGTCTGTGCTTTCTGCTTGTTGCTTAGCTCAGCTCGCAGCAACTGCACCGACCCTGAGCGACCTTGAAAGTGCATTATATGTGTTACAAACAGCTAGATATACACAAACCACACTTATTCTAACTGAGAACGTTTTCAAAAGAATCAAACTCTGGTGTCTTACTTGAATGATGCATCTACATAACTATGCATTTCATACAAAGTGTGGGACTTTGTCAGTTAATTTACCTTTTTGGATGGATGTAGACTCTTGCCACATTTAAGAAAGATATGGTGACAATGTTGCAACTTGATGGAATGGATCCACTGCATTGTTCCAGCATGACTCCCTGCATGCTGGGCTGACACTCTTGGTTGAGTAGTTTGGTATGTTCCTCAGTGAAAAGAAATACTATTTTCCACTACATAAACAAATAGTTCCACGCGATAGTTTACTGCAGCAGCAACAACATTGGCAGACTGAGTACCAGGGCTAGGGTTAGGGTTGCACATACCAATACAAGTCTTTCATGGTATCATGTATGTGAGATCTTATTGTGTGTAGGTATTGAATACAGTGAGTGTGCTCAGACCCACAGTCAATTACTGAAACATTGTTCATTTTGTTTGTTCGTATGGTAAATTACTTAAAGGTGACATAGGAAAAGAAGGGTCATTGGTGAACTGCTCAAACAAAGTCCAAAAGTCTCCATCTTGCCTTTTCTCTTGTTTTCATTAGTCTAAAAGGATTAGGGCAGAACCTGCCTCTGCTGTCCTGAGCTCAGTCAATCCCAACGTGTTCTTAATTGTAGAGAACAGCACACTCGCACCTCATTGATTATGTGTTGCTGATTTGCAATCACCAAGTAAGCTTCTCTGCATTCCTTCATTCGACACCATAGAAGGAGCCTTTCTCATACAATCTATCTATTTTGCCTCTTCCTACTTTTTGCTGATTCTTTACTTCAACCTCAAATATTTGGTTTTCATTCCCTTCTTACCTTTGTTTCCAGATGTTATTACTTGTTACTTCTCACCTCAATCTACAGTTTAACTTTGCCCAGCAAGATGGTGCTCCCACTTGAATTAAATTCAGAGCTATTCACCATACCTTTTTATATCCTTCACCTCAAATAGACCTTTCTGAAAGCAGATATAAAGGGCGTAGGTAGATTATGCTACTTATTTTCAAAGTTCAAAGTTTCAAATATCTGTTCAGAAACTGGACAAACGTTAAACAAGTACAAACCACAGACTATCTGTGTCATGGCGAATACAGTCGCTGGTTTATTTATGTCTGTATAGGACGTTGTGAGTTTGGACGGTCGGAGCATATAGCCTATTGCGTTAGCTTAGCCGATCTCCATTTAGATAACAATCAAATCAAGTTTTATTTATATAGCAC